GGGAACCTGAATGTGGATGCTCCATGAAAGGGGAATTAGGTTACAGCTTTTGCCTTGGAGATCTGAGGTTGGACAGGAATGCTGCTACACTTTACCAATGTCTCCAGTGTGAGAGAGCCCATCATCTCTCTAGGCAGCTGGTTCCACTGTTGTATTGCTCTGACAGTGAGGAAGCTTTTCTTGATGACCAGCCTGAATCTGGGTTGCCACAACTTGAACTGGTTATTCCGTATCCTGCTCTCTGGCATCAGCAAGCGGAGATCTTGACCTTCCTCTTTGAGGCACTTCTTGAGGGATATCATGTCCCCCCTCAGTCATCTAGGATGGAGAACTAGAATGGCAGTATGGATAAAGTGTAGCCACTTCAGTATCATTTATTGATTTATTTAAAGCTTTTCTATACCATCCTCCACTAAGAAGTCCCAGGACGATAGTACAATGAAGTAAAAGTCCAGTATTTCACCCAGAACCTCAACAAAACCACCAACTTCTGTCCCATACCAAATTCAGTGGCAAGCATGCTCCAAGAAGAATGTAAGGACATGTGGCACTCCAAATTCTGTCCCTTCCTCTGTGAGTCCATTCGTGGTGCATCTCCTCACTCACCCTTCCATCTGCGGCTGCCACAGGCAGGGACCAAACAAACCTCAACACGATAGTGTTATAACACAATTTGTGTTACCCTGAAAGTTATTGTGGAGAGGCATCACAATGGTGGTTCCATGCCAAGTGGTTTTCCTTGCTGTATCTCACGTTTCTAGTCCTTCTTGTCCAGAACAATAATGTAGAATTCGCCATGAGGTTCGTGGTTTGTCTGAGTCATCCTTGCACCCGAGTGATGATCTTGACTTGTTTTACAGTATCCATAAAGTGACAGCACCATCTTTCAGCATGCTGCAAACATTAATTTGTCCAGCTTCATGACTGAGCAGTTTTGAAAGAACTGCCTGGTTGTTTACTGACTCTTACTTGAATAATTTATTGGATTATTATTAGATTGGACGTAATAAATTCAGTGCTGATTTATCATTTCCTTCACATAACATGGCAAATTATAGTTAAATTTATCACATCAAGAGACGTTCAGGGCAATGGTGTAGCTCTATAAACCAGGACAGTACTTTGATGGGGAATTTGTGCTTGAGATTTTATGTTGTTCTAAATGCCTTATTAATTTTGGCTTGTGGGGGCAAGCGGGGAGGACTCCGAGTTAGGTTCTCTTTGGGGGCTGCTTGGTAACTGGAGTTCTATGAGAAGTTTGTTGCAATATGGTTTGGATCAGGGTTTGCCCAGTTGGCTCTTTTCAGATTGATCCAACGTTGCGGCACAATCAGCAGCTTGTGTCTGAACATGTCCAAGCCTGCAGTCTGATCTGTGAATTCCTCAAAATGTTTCCTAGCCTGCCTCCCTTGGAAAAGTGCAGCTTATTTTGGAGAGACTTTGGAGAAATGCGCACAAGCATGCTTGAATCAATGGGAGAAGCACACGTACATTTCTAAGGTGCCCACAACTGGTGCATTTGTCTTGGGGGGGGGGGGGAGGCATGCAGCAATGCACATAGATTCAAAGCCCACACTCTGATGTGGCCATGAGTCATCGTGAGCTTCAAGATGGAATTCAGAGTACTTTGGCAAGCTCCACTGCTACTGATTTGCACATCCTTACCTTCCTTTGATCTCAGTTTCTTTTATATTCCTTCCCACTTCTGTACCTCTGAAGGGGTCTGATAGTTAAGGATCATCCGCAAGCGCCATTGGAAACCTGTTCTCAGCATTAGCTTGCAAACAGCAGTGCTCGACTCACGGCACAGCTCTCTCGTGGGACTGCAGCGACCATGCATAGTTGCAGGAGGGCCAGTCCTCATTTGGCTGCTGGAGAGCTAGAGCAGGAAGGTGAGAAATTGCTAAGCAGGCAAATGGATACATGTAAAAACAGAGAGAGATTCACAAAGCAAAGAATGGAAGTTGCTCCCCCCTGGTGTACGTGCACGCACGGTGCAGTGGGAGAACTCGTGGTAGCTGAAGTCCAATTTATGGTGAGTGCGTGAAGTAGTTCTCCCATCTGGAAACAAAATGCCAGATGGCCTGTTTGTTGGAAAGATGGTTGAGAGTGACCTGACCCCATGCGCTTGCCAGAGGCTGCAACAGCTGCTGGGAATCAACCTGTTATTCCAAAGACAGGGGGGACAAGAACAGGACTGAGAAAGACTTTTCTCCAAAAGAAAGGAGAGAAAGACAAAGTGTTGCAAACCAGAGAGGCTGCTGATGTTTATAAAATATGCATCTGCTAATGTGTGCTGAGACAAACTCTTGCCTGGTGGGAAAAGGGGCCTTGAATCCTTCAAGTTTTCTGGTGGGGTCACCCATGCAGGTGGGGACCTGCATCTTTCCTGCTTAGCAAAGGTAATGTGACATTCTAGCTTGATGGATAGCTATGAAGCCTTCAACTTAAAAGCCTGGCCCTGCTGAAGATGCCATTTGTGGGGGAAGGTTTGCCACAGAAGCATCCAAGTAGGACAAGCATTCAGGGGAAAACTTCAGGTTGGAGGTGATGAGTAGACCTAAATCTGGGCAAATGATGCCTTTTAATTTTACAGATATTTCAATAGATAGCATTTGTTTTGATTGTGTTTTTATTGCTGCTATGCTGCATATTAATTTTATTACAGTTGCTGTGAGTTGCCAATTTATGTTTTGCCATCTTGTTTGTTTAAATATGATTATTTATTGCTTTTATATGTCTTTTAAATTTTATAAACTACCCAGAGAGCCCAGTGGACTATGGGAGAGGTATAGGAGGGTCATAAATAAATAAAGCTGCTGTTCTTTTTGAAATGTTCTTTTAAAAAATCTTGTTGTTCTTGTAAAAATGCAAACTGTGTCTTGCATAAGTACTCGGTGGCCTCTTTGCTGCTGCATATATTGAAAATGCCCCCTGGCAGGAATGCAAGCTGAGTATGTCACTTGCTCCCAAGTGCCCCGTTTGTAAGATAGAGAGGGAGCACAGGCTGCCTCGTGGGCATCTGTGTGTCCTACTGCGCCCTTGGGAATCCTGTCACATCCTTCTCTGTGGAATGTGCTGGCCAATTTTTGAGCCACGTGGCTGAGTCCTTAGCATCATTTTTTGAATAGTAAGAAAGATGAAAATGAATGGCGTCCTCAGGCTGCACTGAATTATGTTCAAATCAGCTTTTGTTCAGAGCTTCGCAGGAGCTCTCCATGGTGCTGAAACTCATTGCGGGTCCAGTGCAGAACCATGAACAGCTCTGAGAAAGCTCAGGAGGTGTGTTGCAATGGACAAGCCAGGGGTGGCATCGGGGTCAGAGGGCTGGGCTGGGACTCAGGAGATTTGGGTTCTAGGCCCACCACACCAAGAGGCTCTCTGGGTGACTTTCGGCCAGCCACTGATGCGCAGGATAACCCACCTCACAGGGTTCTGAGCATAAGACTAAGAAGAGGAGGACTATGTAAGCTGTGTTAGGTTCCCATTGACATAAAGGTCACCAGCCTCCCCTGACCAATCCCTCCCTGAATTGCCCCAAATGGTCTCCTTCATTTCTTGGGAAGAATACAAGAGTAGTAGAGTTTGAAGGGGCCTAGAAGGCCATCCAGCCCAACCTTCTGCTCCCCTTCCACATGTGGTCACCCATCTGGCTACAGTCCCACCCCTTTCTGGCTTAGCAAAGATGGCTCAACATGTTATCTCAATGTGCAGCCATGCAGCGGGAAAACCTGACACAGGATAGGAACCTGCCCACCCATTCATGCAAAACAGGATTCCCACATGGGGATCCAATCTTGCCAGCCTGGTCTCCCCATATTGCTGTGGGACCCTGCTCCCAAGTTCCCAGTCTTGTGCGGATCCCCAGCTTTTGCAGCTGTCCATTCCCCATTCCAGAAGGTAGGAATGCCTCTTCCCTTTAGTCTTGGGCCCTTCCAGCCTCTGAAATGTGGTGCCAAAGAGTTTATCTGAAATGGGATTTGGCCTTGTGCATCAAGAGGGTCCGCACCCTGGTGCAGACAACTCTCACTTCCTCCGCCTTCCTGTGTTTATATCCTCATGTGGGTGGTTGTGAATTAACTAGAACAGACTCCTTGGTCCAGGGAGGTGATAGATGCTTTGCCATTTCATCTCCAATGCGTCCCATACATGAAAAGAAGGCACCTTGTATACTTCGCTAAGAATCTTACTACACATCCATCTTTTCCCATCCCAATAATGGCACCTGAAATGGGACCCAGCCTGCATCCAGTTACTTGAGCATGTGCCAGTCACTTGAACAGGCCCAGGCAGTGTGCTTTTAATTTTAATTCAGGTTGACATCGGGGGGTGTGTTTGCGTGCACACTTCTGCACAGTCCCTTCCTTGATCTCAGACCTCGATCTGCCTTCCTCTGCTCATTACTAATTCCGATTTTCATGCACATCCACCTAGGCTGGAGTTCTATGCCCCAAGAAGCCTCTTTTAACTCCTGACTCCATAAAACAGTAAAACCCCAGTAAATCCAGGGGTGCTCCCAAACTGTACAAGGCAAGGAAGAGCTTTAGCGCCTGATAGCTCCTCTCTTTTCCTAGCCTCCCTCCAAGAGCCCACTGGGTAGAGTTCACCTCTCTGCAAGAATGGGCCATTGAATTTTTACGGCTTTGCTTCTTACACAGTGACTGGTTTTATTATGCAGTTTACAAGACCGAACTCTTTAAGCCCCCTGTTGCTTCTCTTCCTTAAATCTCTCCTTTGCAGGGCATTCGTATCCTCTTCTGGTTGTGAATCATTGCTGAGCTGTCAAGGGGACTGTAATATTCAAGCCGAGGAAGAACAAAAGCTGAAGCAGAGTGTGCTAGCCCTTGGACAAGAATACTTTGCAATAAAGTTGAAATACATTTGCGTCCTGTGGACAACACCCTGCCTGCGTGTACTCTGTAAAGCACCATGAACGCTCATGGTGCATTGTCAGCGCCGTAGACTCATCCATCTCATATGGAGTTTTCCTTTCTTTTCAGTGTGGCCGCTTCTCCTTCTGAGATTATGCAGATCGATTTTGAAATAGAAGATCTCACCGAATTGCCTGGGACCCAACTTATTACCTGGCAGGTAGAATATCCAGAAGAACGGACGTCTGATCTTGGCATCTCCAAGATTTATGTAAGCCAGAAGGATCTGGTTGGTGTTCTTCCTTTGGCTATGGTAAGATGAACTGTTTGCTGTCTGCATTTTGAACTGTTGAAGGATAAGCAAGTCTTTCTCTACCAGAACACACTGACTAGAATGCCAATATTTCTCATATGTGTTCTGTTCTGAAACCTGGAGTTACGCAGATCAAAGTCTCAAAGATTGTTTGGGATATTCCACTATGGTCCCTTCCTTGATAGACTGAATTGAATCCAGGATTTTCTGCTGAGGCATAATTAGACTTGTAGGTTTTCACTCCGGATCCTTTCAGCTAATTTTTAAAGGTAGTTTGAGCTATTACTGTTGTTGTTGTTGTTGTTGTTGTTGTTGTTGTTGTTGCTATACCGGCTGTAGCTAAAGCTTTTAGCCATGAGAGTTCCCTGAACTCAAAAATGTGCAGAAGGAACATTTCCCGAATGCCTTTTATAGATTTTATGTATGCTGAATGTTCAAAGATGACCCCTTCATGGCCCAACTTAGTGATGGGTCCAATGGCAAACCTACATCCCAATTTAGCATCCTAGGAGTTAGCAGCAGAATTTGGGGGAAGAGTGCGGGAATGTCCCATCCACCTGGTGGCCAATATTGCAATTCCTCATCAACACTGGGGATCAGCCTCCACTGAAATCCCAACTCTCCCCAGTGAATAGGAGGAGCTGGAGCCTATGGAAAAGCAGACAAGACCATGAGCACGTTTTGATGTCTCAGACAGAAGGAAAAACGCATACATAGGCACTCCAATCCCTGCTTTGCATAATGCCACCCACAAAGAGAATTCTATAATCATGGGGCATGTGTAAGAACTGAGTTATAACTGCCAAGTTCTTTGACCTCAGCTTTTTGGAGAAGACACTGGATACCTCATTTCTACTGGAAATCTTTTCTCATGTGTGATCTTTGGCTCCACATTATGATTACTTTGTCCTGGGAGGACCAAACTATATAATTTTCCAAGGTTTTGGATGCCCAGAGCTTGCTCCTATACTTAGAGAATATTGACACATGTTATTATTTGGACCTGAAGGAGGGGTATCTTTAGAGTATTTGGGGGGAAATAATGGTAAGAGATGGGCTGTTGCCTAGTGAGATGAAGTTAATTATTATGCTGTTAGTCAAGATTGGTGCTGGTTTCTGCACTTCATGATGCTGATAAGGGCCATTGCTGTAATTTTCCAACTTTAAAGCAACCTGGATACGCTTTGGTGCTTAGTGACACAACATATGATTGCATTTCTCTGTAACTTTGGTATTTTGATCGAACAACCCACAGCACACTTGCCCGGTCTGCTGGGTTACAAACCACCAGCAAAGACAACCTGCAGCCCTGTTTGGACTATGACCAATTCATCTTGGGGTTCATGTTCTGCTGCTCTTAGCAAAACTCAAGCAATCCCAAGTGCTGATCGAGAAGTTCTTCATGCCGAAGTCTTAAAAGCAGCTCCACTCACCCAGGGAGCTGATTGGTTTTCTCTGAACCGGTAGGGCCATAAAAGCTCCTGGGTCCGGTTTGACCTCCTTCAGCATTCGTCGCCTCGATGGTTTCTAACTTTGGCTCTATGTGAAGCTGCCCCCTTGTGATGAGCTGTCACAACCGCAGCTTGAAACGCCTCCATGGCAGAGAAGTGTTCCCAACCTCAGGACTGGGACCACCAATTTTGGGTGGCCACTGCACCTTCCTGGACAAGAAGGCCTCTAGGAGCCTTCCCGACTGAACCAGGACCTTGCCCATTCCTCAAGATTTCCCCTCACTTCTGATTTGAACCCATCACTCTTGCACACTGGTTCAGCTCCTGCCCCCTGTTTTCTGGCTCTCCTCTGAGTAAGGATGTCAAGAGATCTGCAGCAGATCAAGAGGACTTTATATCTCTCTGAACCCAATTTATGGCGTTCACAGTAGATCCATTTTTTCACTGTTCGAAGGGAAGAAAGGATTTGTACAAACATAGAGGAATGACAGCAAACTCAATTCTGAAATTCACTGCCAGAAAATTCAAGGTGGCGTCCACACACGTGCAGCAGGAGAAAGATACTTCTGTGCTTGTTGTGTTAAATGCTGTGACTAAAACAATGAGGGTGTGAATGAAAACCAATCAGCCCCGATTTTAGGAGAGTTAATCTTTACATGGATGCACATCCTTCCTTCTTCCCATGTGGAAAGTCTCTTAAGGCTCTGCTGTACCTACGGTCTGAGTAGCCCTTTATTGGGCCTTTACGGTATGATTCACATTTCAGACCCAAAAAGTCATCCTTGTTCCTTCCAGGATAATTAAGGTTGCTGGCAAGCAGGGCCAAGTCGGCTGGTCCTTTTGCCAGTTCTCTGTGTCTGCCTCCCTCCAGACAAATACAGATTTTGTTCTTGGTCCTTGCCAGTTCGCATTCCAAGCCAGGAATTGTTTTGTCCCCTCCTCCCCTCCTACTTTTGGGGCAGGGAATCTATGGATTAGAGCTGCTTCCCCCCTTCTTCTGAATGCCCACGTTGCAATCAACATGGATCGAAAATTAACCTCATTATGAATTAATTAAAACTGTGCTTGGGAGAGGATTTGAGCATCAATTAATGATGTGCGCACAATCAGGAGTGACCCTGAATAGAGCAGAAGGGAAGGGCTGAGATTTCTGATTTTCTATGGTAACCCCACCCCTGTTTTTCTCTCTCTTTCCTTCTCTTGCTTCATTGGGGAATTGCTGTTCTCTGGGACCAGCCACAGAATGGAATGCTATTTGTAGTTTAAAAAAATAATTGAACCAATCCAAAAGCAAAGCAAAGCAAGTGTAGCATTCCAGGTAGCATTTCTCAGTACTCTCTTCTCTTTGTGTATAGTATTCTTGTGGTAAGTCATACAAAACCTTGCAGGGTAGGTGTGTATTTTTATTAGCCCCATATTACAGATAAGAAGCTGAGGCTGACAGAACATAAAAGGCTCTGCGGACAATAAAGAGCTGTGCAGTTTTCTAAGCCCCACAGGCTGACAGGCTAAAAAGACAGGACAGAAAAGGGAAAGGGGGATGGAGCGGGGTGGGGAGAAAAAATTAATAAATGCAAATACTCCAATCCCCCCCCCCCGTGTGTTTAGATGCTTAAGAGGAATGTGCGAAGTATCTCAGTTTTGGCAGGGGGAGTACAAGGCTTGTGTATCTCTCTAAACTGAGATTAATAGCCAATGATAGACCAAATGTCCATTGATATTATTTTCTAAGCCCACTTTTCAAGCCCTCTGTGCCAGCAACCAGCACCACCTCCTGGGGAAGTGAGTTCCATTCGCTGCCAACATTTTGTAGGAAGAAACCCTCTGTCCACCCAGGGAATCCGCCTCCCTGGCTATTTCAGAGCTCTCGTGTCTGTTCTTGAGACCCAGCCCTGGTTTTCACCAAGCGAAGGACACATCACCAAAGAGATGAATGTCTGAACTGGACCAAACACCCACAAGGTTCTGGGTGGTGAATTTTAACAATACAGATAGCATCATTCATTATTTCCTTAAAATATGTTTATGTAGCCCTCTATCTTTCAATAGCAGGGCAGAAGACAATGTGCAATTTGAAGGGGGAAACGTATTTATTTTGTTTCATTTTTGTACCACCCAATAGCTGAAGTTGTCTAGGTGGTTCATAAGAATTAAAACCATAAACTAGGAGATGAAAAAATAGAATATAACAATGTAAACTTTAAAAATTTATTTATTTTTATTTATTTATTAAAACATTTTTATGCCGCCCCATTCGCCGAAGCCTCGGGGCGGCTTACAACAATAATGGTGCTATAAAATGGAAATAATAACCAAATGGGACCTAGCAGCAGAGCAAAGATTCAAATTGTTCCAGATTACAGACAGGCACTGGAAAACTAGGAACAGAAGGGCAACAATGTAGACACAAAATGAGTCACTTTGGAAAGGTCCTTCTCCACAGAGAAGAGGCCCTCTTCATACGCACTTTCCTTGGTGGTCCTCCGGGAGAAGGACCCTTGAGAAACATCTTAGCATCTGGGCATCTATATATGGAAGGACACCTTCTTTCAGGTGAAAGTACAATGAAACAACAGTACCACCAACTACACTGGCTATACCAAAAGGAGGAGGAACCTCATGAGAGAGCGGTCATGTCAACCAGCTTCATCAACCAGCTTAAAATACCCAGGCAAAGAGACATTTGCTGCGGCACCAAAAAGGGTATAATGTTGATGGGGTGGCCCCTCCCTGGGTGGGGTGTCCACGACGAAGGACCACAGAGGAGAAGCTTCTCCCTTCAGTTGTCACATGACTTCCCAGGGGCACTTAGAGCAGTCTCTCTGATGATCTCAAAGTAGACGTGGGGGACCACAAAGCTTTGAGGGCCAAACCTGGCCAGCCTCAGGTCCCTCCAGCAGTTCTGAGAAGGCCTCACCCGCTTCCCCTTCCCCCAGTCTGCTTTCTTAGCCTTTGGATGACTTTTTCTGCATCCCGAAAGCTGGAAATGTCTCTTCCCTTTCTGCTTTTCCCACACACACATAATTTGAGAGACCTCTTTCATGTCTCCCTTGTCCCTTTTTTAAGCCAGATATTGTAAACTTTCCTTGGAGGGGGAAAGACTTGTGCCCTGTGCTCCTGGGTAGGGCAAAACTGGGGGTGGAGATTTGGGGCTGCAGGCAGGCCCAACCCCCTGTGTCCTCATCCACCCAGCTGCCACTGAAGGAGTAAACAGTAAACGGTCATTCCTACATCTAAGGATCTGCCAGAGCATTGGAAGTCCATGGAATGAATGCACTTCTGGAAAAAGCCGTTCCCCTGCAGAATCGGTGGCTTGGATTCTCGAAAATTCCAGCCAGTTTGAGTCTGTCTTAGATATCTCGAGCATAGCAGGAATCAACCTAGGATCTTCCACATGCCGAGAAGGAAGTCCTGGCAGTCCCCTTGTGATGCATTGCGGAAACAAAATTCTGCATTCTTAGCCGATGTAGGATTCCATTCATTTTTATAAAGTATTCAATAATATTCTTTGTCAAGCTCTAGCACAGCCTTCCCCAACCTGGTGGCCTT